TCAATGTAACTAAAAAAGAATCAGGGTCTCTGATAGTTGATCTTGTCCAGTATCTAAAATTTTGTATGGTACTGCTTCTTGTTTCAGAGTCTCTGACTTTAAAATCAAGCTCAGAATCATCCAAAATGGTCTCAACATAATTCATAGGGAAATTCCTAGTCAATTCTCTGTATGAATAATTATATGCTTGCAAGCAGATAAATGAAAAGTATTTCTTTATCTTTTGCTCCTTATTCATAACTATTAATGGAAGTAAAATATTAGGATGATCAGCTATATGAGTTCATCAAATGGCAAGATTTTTCTTTCCTCACATGCTACTTACTTTCAGACAAAAATTCTAAATTTCCCTCAGACAGTAAACATTCCAGCTCATAGTTGCTTGGATATATCATGTACTTCTTGAAATGGTTTAATTGAAATACCTTGTTAAAATAATTTGGTATTCCTGGTGAAACACTGAATAAATTCTGTGAATATTCCCCTGTTAGAAGTTGATGTTTGTACATGTATTTTATCAACTCAAAGGTATTAGCTTGAAATTTAACAGAGATTTGATTCAGATCTTTGAAATTGACTAATGTGTTTTCATTGAAATCAATATCATGCAGCATATCTATCAAAATTTTGACCAAATGGTTGAAGTTAATTTCCTGTTGTTTTGGCAGTAGATTTAAATTGATGTTTGAAACTTCAGAAGATTCTTCAGACAAATATTCTTCAATATCTGAAAGACTCTTTATTTTGAAGTGTTCCTTGAAATATTGCTTTTGCCATTGTGAAATTTTGTTCCATGATTTTGAAAAACTGTGATGTTCATTAATTTCTGTTAGAGAGAATTCAAGGTTGTTATTTATCAATTTGATGTCTATATCAACTATTGGTGTGAGGGTGCAAATTCCAAACTCAGAAATCCCCAAAGCATCATGGGCATGATTGAATAGGATTTGGTGAATGAGTTTCAATTCTTGGAAAGATTCAATCAACTTCAGCTCAGCAGAGCTATAATCATAGGAAAGATTCTTGAAAATTAATCTCCCAAGTGAGCTGGCAAGTTTTCTTGAAGATTGCAGATCATTAAAGATTGTTTCAGATTTTTCTGTCAAGTTTCAATTAAGTTAGAATAATTTGGCACAAAGGTTTAATAAGAAAGAAAGAAGTACCTTCATGGGAATATTCTGCAGATTTTCCACTTGCTGATCCTCCTGGACTGAGATGAATCCTCTTTGTTGGGTTTATGTTTAATTATCCAAAATTGGACCTTAATCTTTTCAAACAGAGTACTGATTTTTCTCCATGATTTTTTTGGCTCCATTGAGGAAATATTTTCCTGTTCAATTTGATCAAGTTTTTTGGTTTTCATGTGATCATTTTCTTTTTCTCCCTGATCTATGTAGCTTGTGTGCCCTGAAACAACTTTACCAGGAACAGAGAAATCACTGTATGATGTTGTTATTCCTTTTTCTGTATTCAAAGCAATTATTTGTCAAATCCTTATCAGTCTTTGTTTCAACACATAGACACAGCAATTTACCAAAGAAAATTACATACCTTTGTCAATCATTTCATTCAAACGGATCCCATGATTTGATTCCATTCCTTGAGTTACCATGGAGCAGTGTAGAGCCAGTAAAACTATTTGGAGGTATCCCAAGGGAATCATGATGTTAAATAAAATCTAAGGCTATAAAAGTGATTTTATATGAATTTTTATAATTGATATAATATTATTTTATAAGAGTGACTGGGAGATGTGGTTTAATAAGTAAGTTTATATTATTTTAAGTAATTTTATGTGAATCTTGATGATTAAGGTATGTTTTATAACTGATTTTTTCTTATTTTCTATTCTTTGTGGGGAAATTTGAATTATCAAGGGGAAAGCCCCATATTTGTAGAAAATGAAATGCTACAATCAGCTATTCAAACTACAAGAATCTGAGGCATGTGAGAGCAGAGGTCTTTGTTTCAAGGAAAGTCTTTGAATGTTGTGAGAACTGTGATTATTGAAATCATTGGCAAGCTTGGAAAATCTGTTTCAGTCCCAGAATATAAGTTTGATTATTTTTTGTGGTTGGACTCAAACTGGCTTGACGCAAGTTTGATCCAGGTAGCTGATGAGCTGAGAAAAATGACCACCTGGTGGTGGTGCAATGAGAAGTGTATCTGACAACAGATACACCAAGAATACATGGATTTTAATACATTATGTATAGGTTTTATTGTCATGTATTTGACAGTAAAATAAACAGTTCTACCAATACTGTGTTTTGCATCTGATAGCAAATAAATACATCAGAAATGAATATATTTCAGTACAATACATGAAAATAAAAAATACAAATACAGCTACAGCTATTCTGGGAAAGGTTGTCTGATCTGAATGTTTTTTTCCCTCCTCATTTTTTGTTTGTAGGGACAGACAAAATGAAGATGTGTCTGGTGAGAGTCAAACTCACGACCTCAGCTAAGCTGAGACACATACTAGAGTGCTGACTTTACCAAATAGGCTACAGACACTGGTGACTGCCAGGGTTGTTGGGTGGTAGTCCTCATGGTTCAACATGTAGTGATACATCATGGTAGCAGACTATCAGACACCTCAACCTTGTTTTCTTTTTATGCTATTCATAGGGAAAAACCCCACCAACTCAACAAGAATTGACTAATTGGAGGAGGACATCAGGACCCAGGAGAGTGCAGCAAGAGGTTGGTAACCAAAATGCCAATTAGAGATGGGCGCATTGAATCCGGATATCCGCGCGGATGCGGATATCCGCTCACGATTTCAGCGGAAACGCACATCCGCATCCGCCAGCGGATACCCGCGGATACCCGCCCTCTGAATGGGCGGCGAGGCTCTTCCAGGAGTGTTTTTTTTAAAAAAAAAGAAAGAAAAAAAGAAAAAAAACCCAGCCCCCTCGGCCTAAAGGGGCAGAGGCCACACCGTCGGGAGGAACCCCTCCCGGCAAGCGTCTACACAATCCAGCTTGCGGG